TCCTTAGCACATATAGTAGTATTAGGCAGTGCTTTGCAGGTCTGCTCTCATACGTCTGTGTGAGTATCAGACAGCAAACAAAAGTGAAGGTGCTTCTTCCTGTAAGTCACCATCAAAGAAACTGAAAAACACTGGTTTACAGCCTGAAAATGGCAGGCAGTCAGGGGAGATGAAAAGGCGTAATGATACCAGGAACCGCTCTAAAACGTTGACCACTGCAGCAGAGGGAAAGCCCTCCTGAATGGCAGTCAGGGCAGTGACTCAGGAAACACCCTTCAGTGCACAAGTCTGTGTGTGGTCAGGCTGCCCAGGGCACTGCCATATTCTGAGGTTAACGACAGGCTTTCTTTCCCCCCGAAGCAAGTGGAATTGCACAACTGAAAGTAGAGATTTCATCTTGATCCTGAGATGGGGACAAAACTGACAGGACTTATCCAGTAAGTCATCTTGCAATATTTGTCCACATAGGCGCTGTGCCAGATTTCAAATGCTCTTGAAAACCTGTCAGGGTTTGGAAGAGATAGGAGAATGTCTTAAAACGGAAAGCCTTAAATGTGGATATAGATTTAACCGAACAGTTCCATTACGACCAAGTTCCTAGGTGAAAACTTAACAACCTGTAGAAGAAGGTGAAATGGAAAGGAACTATAAACACATAACAAAGTGTTTTAGAAACTATAAAAGCATTTATCGATGTAACCAAAAGGTTGTAAGATGTGGGTGAAACTGTAACAGGGTGCAGCCAAGAGGGGGGCCCCCACATAGAGATTTGGAATGGGGTCCAGGACTCAAGGTATTCAGGAAATATTAGAAAGATATGTAGGATGTCCTCACTGCCCACCCCACCTCAGATGTGAGGTGGGGTAAGGGACACATGGAGCTGTTTTGCATAGCAACAGCTTTGCAGCTAACCTCTGGCATGGCCATTTAACATATCTATAACCTTTAACTGGTTTCACAGATATGTTACATAGCTGTGGCCATGCTTTGAGCCAGGGGGATGGAAGTGACTTCCACCCAAGATGTAACTGGGAAGAAACTCCCCCTGGTTACAGTGCCTGCGTGACAGCTTGGAGATGATTGGCTCCATGCCATGGAGCCACACCTACCTGGACTTACTATGGCAGCCCAGTAAAGCTGGAAGGATACAGGAATGCTAGCATGTGTGTGTAACCAATTGTAGGAGGATTTGGAAATGGGGTTGCAGAGGAAGACTGGCTCGGGGATTTAAACCCAGATGCAGCGGCCATTGAAGAGAGAACCATGTGGCTATGGCCAGGGTGGGGACCCCCTTGGCTTTGGCAAGAGTGAAGACCACATGGCTTTGGGGTGCTCCCTTTTGTCACATGGCTCAGAAAGCAGGAGAGGCTTTGCCTGGAAGAAAAGGGGTGAAAGGACTCTTGCTGGTGGGCCATGAGAAGGTGCCACGTGGCTTTGGATTAACTGGAGATCCTGACAGCAACAGAGCTCATGGTGCCGGGAGCCTGAATCACGAACTTCTGCTTCTTTTCCTGAGAAACAGTACCCAGATTAGGGCAGAGGGAAAAGGAAGGACTGTGTGCCTCTGTGGGTATCCTGAAAGACTTTAATATTTTAATGAAGACATTGGATTGCTACTTTAAGTCTGTATAGCTTTAAATAAACATTTCCTTTCCTTTTCACAAATCTCTGGCATTGAGATGTCTTTCCTCTGGCAGCGGGCATAACGAACCTAGTGGGGGGGTCCTTTCAGTAATAGTAATAGTATATCGTAACCCCCCCCCCGCCCTGCTCTGTAACAAAATCACACACCTTCGACTGGGTGAGGGGCCCACATTCTGCACCACGCCCATTCTTCTGCAACCAAGTGAACCTACCCAGCCAAAACTCCTGTTCTTCCATCTTGTTTTAGGCTATTTTCCAGGTGCCCAGAACTGCCTAATTAAATACACAGCCACTTCCAGGGCATGAACTGGCTCCTCCTGGATTTCCCAGTGGGGGACTTGGCCTCTAGTCTGAGGCATGGTTAAGGGGTGGCAGAGGGTGTGGACAAAGACTGTCCATGCACATGGACACTATACCCTTTACCAGGTGGGACTGCACGAGGGGCAGGAAGCAACTGGAAGCAGACGCAGGGCATATTCTCCCAGCCGCAGGCCAGCTCTGCGCTCTGGGAAGTCTGAGAATCCTAAATCCAAGCCTCACCTTCCAGGCCAATTCTAAAAACATTGTTGTCAAGGTAGGTAGACAAAAGATGGTTTGTTGGCTTAATTCGTAACTTTTAAATATTGAGACCTCTGCTACCAGGGCCTCCATCTGTTCTCTTGCATGGGACCCTGCAAAGCTACAGGCAGGCCTGGGCTCCAACCCCCACCCACTCCGTCACTCCCCCAGCTACCTGAGCTGGGAAAGCCTCTAATCTCCCTGTATCTCGGTTTCCTCATCTGTAAACACAGACACTAATGGCACCCTTCTCATAGGGCTGTTGTAAAGACTCAATGAATGAGGGCATACAAAGTCCCTAGAACAGCACCTGGTACCTAATAAACTCGCCTCAAATGCTCTCTTTATATTGTTCTCCAAACAAAACTGATTGGCAAGTGCAAACTTCTAGATAAGACCACAGCCGGGCAGTGTAGATCTTCTCCCTCACTCCTTTCTAATTTAAAATAGCATGCTTTGTGCCACTCCAAAAGATCCTTATTTTCTACTCTCTAAAGGACAAGTCCTCTAACTGCTGACCTGCCTGATAAAAGTTCTGAGATTAAACATGCACTCATACCCTCCTTGTTCTCCCAAGTTGGTGGTTAGCTCAGGCCTCTGACCAATTTGAAGCCTGGCAATTTGGCTTTCAGTGTCAATTTCATGGGATTAAACGTTTTTTAAAAATTACCAGTTTGAAGTGTTAAAAAGGGGGGCATTTCTTAATCTTCATATCCATGAGATTCACAGCCATAAGCAGGGGTAGGTTCTTCTCGATTCACAGAACACAGGCTGGATTGCTTGGTGCCATCAGCAAGGAAAGGCCACCAGGCCAGAGAAGCTAAGCTGAAAATAGGCCCTGACAGTGGGGAAGTAGGTGGAAGAAGACAATCCTTTATATGGCTACTTATTAGTCCACATGCTTTCAATTATTAAACTGTGCCATCGGCATAGTAATTACAAATCAGCAACAACCTTTTCAATGATTCCTATTCCTTCCGTCTCAAATGACAGAACAAACAACTAGAAAAGAGATCCTTGCCACGTTGGAATGACAGGCAGGCATATACTGTGGCACCTTGTAGCATTTCACCACAAAACCTATCTTTCGAATCAAAGCTGTTTGCCACACGTTGGAGGTCTACAGTGGGACAAGAAGAGCACAGAGAAAACATCCAAGGTCATATTCACCCTTTTAAAAACATACCTACATGTTCAGTATAGTAAACACACAATCCACCACTTTTTCCTAATTATTCTGAAGAGTTTTTAAAATATATGAATTGCCAACCTACTGAGAGGCTGGAACCCTTTGTAGCCTCCCAAGCTCCTTCTAATTGGTCTCCCCTGGAAGAGGTATTGCTAAAGCGTTGTCAGTTTCAACAACGGTGTTCCTATTAACTCGAGCCTTCTCCAAATTCAAAATGGAGTATAAAGCCCGGTATGAAATGAAAATTAATTGGATTCTACAGAGACAAGACAGAGCATATCCCTGCCCAGAAGTAATCCCATCGAAATCACACCTACTGTTTCTTTGGAGAGTTCTGCCAACTTCCTATTTAAAAAAAAACCATGAACACTTCCCATGTTGGCCAATTTTTATTCATGCAATTAAAATGGCCCTTTATAAGAGCTGGGTTAGAGAAACAATATATTTTTAAAAGCCCATTAGTCATATAGTCAAGCTTCATTATATCATAACCATTCATCAGTAGACCATAATGAGAATCCTATTTCCTTGTGTGATGAGAATGTTAAGGAAGGTATGTACTCACAATAGGCCATAAAATGTGTGAAAAACAGAATACCCCAACTCAGTAGAAAAGCCAGTGAGTGCATCGGGCTTTCATTTGCTCTGAAGAGCATTAACAGTTATGGACACAGCCTGGCTTTAACTTAGAAGCCTCTCCTAAATTATTAATCCTCTTCATTCTTCCACCCTTTCCAAACTCCACTCCTTTAAGAGAAGTCGAATGTTTCATTTAAAATTACTGTTATTAAAGATGGGAGTGAGAGATCATGTTGGCTTTGGTCATTTTTTTCTAGCCTACCTTTGTTACGGCTTATTCTAAATATTGTTCCTGTCAGTCAGAGTGGTGTATATAACCTGAGCCCCTGGACTGTGGGAGGTCACAGGGGCCTGACCACCCACTGAGACACTCTTCAAGGCTGCCCAAGGCTTTCATTCTGCACCTATCAACAGGAGTAACCAATGTGTGCAGCTTTGGTAAATGAAAGGACAAATTATAGGGACACCCGTTGGGGCTGGCTGGAAAAGGGAAAACATTCTGATACAGAATTTCAGGAACAGAAGGGGCCTCTGAGATCCCCAGAACCTCTCCTTTCTGTTAAGCAGCGTTCAGGTCCCTTCCCTGTTCCCTTGTCCTTCGAAATCGGGGCTACCAGGATCCCAGGAGCCAGTACTGGGACTGCATTCCCTGCAAAGCCGTGGGGTTAGGCGCAGCTGGGGTGAGTCCATCCAAGCCCCGCTTCTTTTAGCAGCAGCTGGGGGCTTGAAGCCCCGGGGAATCCAGAAAGCCTATGCGCATAGCATTACCTAACCCATCACTGTCACCCATAGCCATGAAGGGGGCCTGCAGCTCTTCGGGCAGCCGGCAGTGGAACCCAAACTGAGGAGTTCCAAGTGCTGCGCCTCGGGGCCAGAAGACACCCCGGAAAGAAGCAGTGCGACTGGCTCCCAAACTGGGAACCCGGGAGTCAGGACGGTGTGCGCCGGGAGCTGGAGCCCTGGAGAATTCCTGTGTGAGCACATGGGCTGAGCGAGGCCCCCCAACCCTCTAGGCCCCACGCCCAGGTACCTCGCAGCCGTACAGCTGTCCCAGCTGCTCCACGATCCACTCCTCCAGCACCAGCCGCTTCCGAAGCTCCTTGCGATCGTATTTCACTGTCACTTTTCCCTGCTGGTGGCGACGCTGCTGCTGAACCTGCCCGGCCGTGGCCGCGGTGGCCAGGGACTTCGAGTCCTCCCGAGAGGAGCCCGATCCGCTGTTGGAGCCCGGGCTACCGCCGGCGCCGCCCCGGGGACTGTGGAAGAACACCCGCGCACCGGCACCGCCGCCGCTGCCAGCCCCACCAGCGGCCTCGCTGCTGCCCGTTGCCACCGACATGTCCCCGTGCACAGGAGCCTGAGTGCGGCCGGGAGGAGGGGCAGGCGGAGCGCGCCTGGCGCCGCTACCACCCCGGGCCGGGCAACGGCATGCGAGGGGCTCGCCGGCACCTGCTCCGCGCGCCACGCACGCCCTGCCGCTGGGTTCTTGGGAGGTCGAAGGAGCCGCCGTGACACGAGGAGGGCGGGGAGGAGTGAGAGGCGGGGACCGCAGCCTTAAAGACGCCACGGAGGACCCTCTGGATCCAGTCCGGGAGGCGGATCTGGCGCCTGGCCAGGCAGGGGGCCGGGGCGTGGGAGTTGAGCGCCGAGGCAGAATGTGTGCGCTTTGACAGGCGCCTTCGCGGTTGTGGAGAGAGACACCGGAGAGGACCGTCGCGAGTCTGGTGCCAGGGATGATCCTCTATGCGGGTGGCCTCTTCTCCCAGGGACCGGGAATTGCTATTCCGTCCGCAGTCCCAGAGCGCACAGAACCCACCGCCTCCAGTGGCCTTGGCCAGGCTCTGCCCTGGGCGCAGGACGCAGAAAAGCTGACAAGGAAAGGAACCGCGCCGCAGGTTCTTCTCTAGGGTTTTCTTCTTCTTCCCATCTCTTCCAAGTGCGGGGAAGTGTCTCCTCTGCCCATGGCCCCACCTCGCTGCTCCAAACACAGGGGTTCCTATTCATGCCTCTTCCTGTCTCTGTGAAAAAAAATTGAAAGGCTATGTTTGTGCAATCGGGTAATTGCTGCACCTGAGAACCTCACTCCAGACCAATTTTTCGCTCCTTACAAACTGTTTATTCACAGCCAGAGCATCAGGATATCTCTATATCTAAAGAGCGGAGCACCTGATTGTGCCTTGGGATAAGGGGCTGGGGACATCCGGCCAGCAAACATTTATCTAAGAGTCAGGGCCAGTTTACTGATCTTACATGTCTTACTGGTACTGCATAGCCAGCTTGTCTCTCTAAACACCATTTCCAAACAACCTCTGTTTACCTGGGAAAGCACTGCACCACTGACTACTTTGAAAGCAGCCTGCAGCCTGGTGGAGTTAGGAATGAATGAGCTTATTATACAGTGGAGGGCAAAGAGATGGGGAGGGGAATTATAAACAGAAAGCCACGTGTGTGTGCGCATATAAAATTATAGGGAGACACTGATACATTTCTGTTGTACATAACATTACATTTCAGTTTAGGCAACTGAAAGAAACCATAAAGATACTCATACACAGTAAAGAGCTTTTATGAATATTTTTTAAGCTGGTAAAGGCTCCTGGCAGGTACCAAAGAAGTTCCTCAGACACAAGATAGATAATTGAATCACTTTCTTCTTGAACACTTCCTGCAGTGAGGATTCTGTGTGAGAATCTAGACCAACAGCCACAAAGGCCCGAGAAACAAAAGACGTAACCAGCAACTCTGTCCCGGCTCCTCTGGCTCTCCAGCCAGTGGTGCCCCGGTCTGCTCTTCCCAGGTCTGTGATCAGCTGTTCCTTCCTGTTGGCATTTCCCAGCAACAGCTTGAGTAGGGATTTTCCCAGAGTATCCATGCCCGAGGCTCATCATCAAAACAGGAGAGGCCTTGAATAGTGAAAGGGAGGGAGCTAGTGAGAATTGTGTGGAATAGGGTGGCTGCTGTGGGTCTCGGACCTCCATCATAAATAAAGGGGGTCAAGGCTAAAGGGCCGCTGCTCCGTGGAAGAGGCCAGCTGTCCATCCGCAGGTGGCTTTCCCTCACAACCTTACTGGGACAAGGGAGATGGAAATTCTGTGACTGGGCCCTAAAGAGGGATGACAATCCTGGCACCTCTGCGCCCCAAATGATCTAGATGTCTGGGGGCATCGAGATCATTTCAAACCTGGAACACACAACCAAGCGGGTGAGCACCTCTCACCCGCAATGGGACTCTGTGGGCCAGGGGGAGAAAGACGGGAGGATGCAGAGATGAATGGTCTCCCCACACGAATAAGCTTGACTCTCCCCAGGCATCTGGCACGTATCCAAGTTAGCCAGAGCCAGCTTCAACCAGCTGCGCAGGAGAATGCCAATTAACACAAAAACAGCTGAAATTTTAGTAACAAAAACTGTCTAAAATCTCTGCCTCATTCTGGCTCTGGGACCTGGCTTTACCAAGTACTTTGAAAACCGTGCCTGCGATCCAGGAGTAGGGTAAAGAGCGGGGAATTCCTCCTCCTCTGAGTCTTGGGGCAATGAATTCAGTCATTCAAGAGAAACTCCAAAGAAGTTATAAAAATTCATTAAGTTCACCCTGACCAGTGTGGCCCAGTTGGTTGGACATTGTTCTGCAAAGTGAAAGGTCACTGGTTCAATTCCCAGTCAGGACACACGCCCGAGTCATGGATTCTGTCTCTGGTGGGGGCACATACAAGATGCAACCAATCGATGTTTCTCTCCCTCTCCCTCCCCTCTCTTTAGGTACAAATAGATACGATTAATAAAAGAGGAAAACAGAATTAAACTTCTTTTAAAAATTCACTGAGTTCTCTCTGAGAAATTCTTGTGTTAATTTTTTCACACCGTAGAGCATAGTTTTTCCTTCATGCTTATAACTCAGCTTTCACTTATGACTTCAAAAATGACGGGGACTAAGAGACATTAAGGCGAAATTTGGGGTTTTAGGCAGATTAACCTAAAGAAAAGTAGCCCAGTGAAGGTTCAGTCTCTCCTCAGATACCTTGATCTTCAAAGGCACAAACCAACCCCCTTGACATGCAACCAGGAGTTGAACTCATATGGGAATTGCTCTTTCTGTGAGTCTGCTTGCTCCGTCCTGTACACAACTCACATTGGCAGTAAACTCTATAGTCCACACACAAACACACGCACTTAACCCCACGTTTCAAAATATTTGGGAATAGGGCATTATTCTCAGGTTAGAGACCCCACAGATGACTGTTTAAGTGCAGGAAAACCCCCAATCTTTCTCCTCTATGAGACAGATGTAGATATACAGATAATTGTTCGAGGCAAATATTTTTATTTCTAACCCATAGAGGCAGGATTATTATAATGCTGTTTCATCAAAAATAGTGAATCATTTTAGCAAATTGAGTGGTCTGAAAATATTCTAGAACACAAGGGACGAGCTCTTACCTCAAGGCGATTACACCCCTGCCCCATGCGGACACAGCCTCAGGAAGCTGCATTTGCCTGCATCTTGTCTGTGTAGCTTTGTGTTTCTTAACTGAACACGTTAACTTGCTCTCTCTTTGGAGAAAGTTTATTTTAGAAATTATATAGGTCCCTCACCTCTGAAAATTATCTTTATGCCCAAAATTTGTTAGACAAGACGACTTAACCAGGGGCCTTAGGGCTTTCTCCACTTCCCAGAGAAACAAGGATTAACTACAACTGTTTATACTCAGATACAAATTTCCTGACTCCTTCAACACTAGGTGTTGCAATAACTAGGCAACACCTGGTAATCTATCTGGAGACTGTGGTAATTATGGTCCCAAGCCCCACAAACCTCAACGTGGAATTCTTATCTTGAGTAACAGTGTAGGTGATAAGGTGCCTACATCCAAATTCCCTCAAAGAGTCAATAAGGCAAAAGGACAAATCAAAGGTAATTTTAAATCTGGTTTTCCTCCTAAAAGTAGGGAGGAATCCCAATCTGTTCTTTGGGGCTATCTCAGTAACCCAGAACACTTTCAATTTTCAGAACACAGGCCATTACTTCAATATTCTCTATGGAGCCGCAGCAGCAATGCTGTGAATGGTACCTCCATGTCGTTTTCCTTTTAGCTGCTGTTTCACCTCTTTTTCTCTTCCTCCTCCTAATTCTGAACCTTTGTTCGTACTGTGCCGTACAATCTGAAATCAGACTTCCAAAATCAATTTAGCCATTACTTGTATAAATAACCGAAGCAATAGCCATCATCGTCACAGTTGTAAAATTTTGTCTCAGTAATTAACAGAATTTTTCCCCTGGCTGTTTGGAACTAATGAAAAGGAAGTGGGGAGAAACACAACTTCATCTCATTCCCTCTAACAAAAACTGAGTATTCCTGGGCCTTCATGGAAAGCGAGCCTGTGGAATATCGTCTTTTTCTGTAAACTAGGGTCAGATCTGTTTCTGGAGGAGAGTTATCCCCATCAAACCAGTAGCCTCTTGCCCTCCTCCTTCACTGCCAAAGGTTTTGGAGGAGTTGTCCATCACCCCCATGTCTCTGCCTTTCCCTTCTACCAGCTCAGCCTTCTGCATCCACCTACCCTCACTGGACTGAAGGCACCACCCAAGGTCACCATCAAACTCCATGTTGCTCAATTCAATGTGCACTTTTCAGCTCTTATCTAACTTGACCTCCTGCCACCTTTGACCATCATGAACCCCTCCCTGCTCTTTAGACACTCTCCTCTCTTGGCTCCCATGCTGACACCCTCCTGGTTTGCCTCTCAGCTCTCTCTTCCTTCCACTGCAGCAGGTTGTGTGAGCTCCTTCCCCATATCCCTGCCTTAAAGGTAGGTGGCTGCCCCAGTTTTCATTCTTGGCTCTGTCACAGGCTCCCCAGGTGATTTCGTCTCCTGCTGAAGCCTCCACTTTGCACAGACCCCCCAGATCACAGTGGACTTCTGGTCTGAGCTTCCAGTCCACAGGTAGACTGCCTTCAGAGCCCATGCACTACACGAATATGTTTGTGGTTGAAGTACACAAATACACACACAGTTTTATCAGTTCATTAGAGAGCAGAATAGTAGAGCAAATATATTTTTGGCCATGATGGTCAGCGCATAAAGGATGCTCTAACTTAGTATCTTTTAAGTTTTTTTTACCACAAGCCACAAGAAGAAATACACCTTATGCATGACCCAAATATATATGCACACTCATAATTTACTCATATTACATGTGACACACCCTGACATATCCTATTCTATTCTGTCATGTTTCATTATTTTTAAGGAACGCTGCTCCCAGTCTGCTAAACTGACTTCCCAACCACTAAAGGGTTGTGACCCGGAATCTGGAAAGTGCTGCTGCCAGAACAGCGCCCACAGGTGCCAGTCCTGGCTCTCCTTAGTCTTAACGGCACACCCCAGGCCGGCTATTTATTTCCCTGGCACCCTCCGTCATTACTAAGTGTTCCTGTAAACAACGTTGGCCCAAAATGGCTGGTATAAGGCTCGCATGGAGGTGATCCCCCTGGAGGTGCCACCAGAGAACTCAAGAAGAAGAATAGCGGACGTTAAGATGTCCCTGTGCTGGACTTCCACGCTCCCCAGGAAACGGTCAGGACCTGGAGGATAACGATCAGAAAGCTGTTAGGGAGCATCCAGGTTAAGGACAAATGTATGTGTGTACAGCCACATGGCAGGTGACCCAAACAGTGCACAAGAGAAACCAT